AGTAGAATTTTTCATAAAGAACTTGGCTTCAAAAAATAAAGAAAGAAATGAGGGAAAAAAATTTCATTCAAAATACATTTTTCTTGTGAAAATAAATTATAGAGAATAAATAATATATACTATAGTAATATGTTCAATAAGCAAAAAATGTAGTATTCTAGCACAATAGTTTATACATTTAGTTATCGAAATAGAAAAGTATACATAAAAGAAGATACTGACACACGTCAAAAAAAAAAAAAATGCGAAAACAATATCTTTAAGAATGTCATTACTAATATTCTTCCTCGTCGTTAGATATAGATACCTCCTAATTGAACAAAACATTGAGATTTTCTCTTCGGCGTCAGTACATTGATATCCAATTTAGTACTGTCAATGTATGCTTCTTTTCGTCTTTTATTTTTCTTAGACACTGGAGCATTTTTCTACTTCAGTTTGAATTATGCGTTCCTTGTGTAAATTGGAAACGAATAAACACAAATGAATTCAATATCATAGAAAAAGTTTAAAGAAATGTCCCAGATTCTCATTCATATTCATGCTTAAAGTACTTATCTCATCATCTCCCATCATATATTTGGTATATAGTTATCCATTTCACAAAAGTCTGTAAAAGCTTAATACAAAAACACACACTTCAAATAAATTTATGTGACCCATATAATTAGCACAATAGCATATTGAATCCATCATAAAAACACAATAAAAACTACATTAGAAGTTCCAAAACCATTTCTCACCTTACTTGCTCCAAAGGTAAATGCATAAAACAGATCAATAGTGCAAATCATTCAGTGGCTTACTACATTCTTTTACATATCTATTACTTTGTCACATTGCTCAATTTATACAACATCAGTAGCTTATTCCATTCTTTAACTTCTGGAGTAACTTATGGATACAAAGAATATATAAATATTTTGGGAAAACGATATTACAGTTAAAGAAGGTTATTAAAAACATATATTACCTATTTGTAGACTCTCTGCTTCTCCTTCAATTTCACCATTAATTTTGCTAAACTTTTCTTTAAAACTCCAAGTTATAATAGCCTCTGAATAACATGAAGCGAACATAGTTTAGACATTTTTTGTTCGATCACATAAGAAAATGAAAAAAAATAAATTCCGTTTCACTGTAAGAATTCCACACAACTCGAATCAAAGATAAAAATAATAAATTTAAACAAAAATATTAAAACAATATACTAATATAATTTAGGTATTTTTTTGTTCAATCTCATGAAATTTTAATTTCTGTTTTGTACAAGAAGCAAAAATAAATAAATCACAAGAATCACAAACTGAAGAAAAAATCTCATATTTGAAACCACAGTTAAAGGAATCAAAAAAATATACACAACACCCTAAACCCTAAAGACCCCTTAAACATGACTATACGAAGTTTGGGTTCGGCTTTTCCAAAGATCCAGCACAAACAAGAGTGAAAAATAAAAACCGATTATACTTACAAATCTATAGCAACAAGCAATAGCAAAAAGGGAAGAAAATTGAGTTTGGAGATCCAAATGAAGATTCTAGTCTTGATTTGTAAATAAAATCCCAAAAGTTAATTAAAATTCCGACCGTCTAAATCTGAATAAAACCTAAATCGAAACTTAAAAGTTACCTTATATCAAGATTTATGGAGACGGCCTTGCATCTGCTGAAATTTCGAAATCTCTAGAAATTTTTTACAACATTTTTCAAGAACCGTAGAGAGAGAGAGTGTGTGTGTGTGTGTGTGTGTGTGTGAGTACAAAGGGAAGAATGTTTTGGAACCACAAAACAAAAACAAAGAAATTCTATTTGCAAAAGCCCTTTTTTGGTGTAGTGAAACCTTATTTGACACCCAGCTAGCTTCCAGCCGGCTGTGAAAATGGATAAGCTGATCAAGAGAAACAACTTGTGAACACTAAAAAAAATTCTCTCTTTTACTTGTAGTTAGATTAGATATATTCTCAATAATTAAGTCCTTATTTGGTGGAGATTAAAATAAAATTTTCAGTAGATTTTGATAAACGTTGATGAAATGTGTGTTTGAGAAGATATATGACACATGAAATATATGGTTGAAATTAAATGTTGACTTTGATTTAAATAAAAATTTGAATTTTAATCCGTGCCAAACAAGGGCAAAATGCATTCAAAGTATTTCAATAAAAACATAATATAATTATTTAGAGGAAAACTAGTGAAAATGAAGGATAGAGAAAATGCTATTTTAAAATAAAGATGCTCTTAGAGATGCTATCTATTGTTCTTGAAACCTTCTTAGATAACATTCAATAGGGAGAGAACATTGACACAAATCTACTTGCGAATCACAGTAGGAAGTAGGTTTTGGTTCTGCATAGCATTGGTTAAGCCCCGTTTGGTACATATTCTTTCAAAACTCATTTTCAACCACACATTTTTCAACAAAATAATATTTTCCATCACATCAATAATATTTCCTTACTTTTTAATTACATATTTCCAATCATATCACTATATAAAATATATTCTTTTTTTCTCAATAATATACACTAAACAGACCCTAACCAATCATGGAATATGTGTTAATTCGGGTTCAAAACAATGTCACTGCCCGCCACATAAGACTGGTGCAGATTAGAGGTGTCAATCATGGTGGTTTGGGCCGGGTCGGCCCGCCAACATATGAGATCGGTAACGGCCCGCGTGAAAAAAAGACCAGCCGCTACGGGTTCTGGGCCGGCTCACAAATTTCGGATTGCAACCCAAGCCAGTTCGCTGACTCATCCGGGTTGAGCCCATGCGGGTTAATATTTTTTTTGTTAAATGTAAATTAAGAATTGAACAAAATGTTAAATTCATATTTATACCAAGAAATGTTTACATAAAATTCAAATTTAATGTTACATGAATTATTTATAACTTTACAAAGTTAAATTTAACATAAACAAATAACAACTAAATGTATTTCTAATTACTATTATCAAATATTTATAGTATAAGTACATCCAAATTAGGTTGGCACCTACTTTTATTATAATTTATAATTTAAGTACATCTCAATTAGGTTGGCTCTCTCCCCCCCTTTTTTACAAATTTAAAAAAATAAAAAATAAAATTCACGTGCCAAAGGGTTAACCGCGGCCTGTGAAGGTGCAACCCATGAAACTCGCGGGTCACACCTCCTTGACCCGTGAACTGCCTGCTCGGGGTCACGGGTCGGCCCGCGGTCCCTGGTCGATTCGAGCAAGTTTTCACGGATTTGGCCGACCCATTCGTCTTGACACCTCTAGTGCAGATGAATGGGATAAAAATAAAAAATAAAAAAAATAGAGCTTTTTGCTGTTAATTTTGATACATTAAGAGCCTTGAATTGAGGTTTTGGTTGGATATACCATTGCCATGCTTGCATGTTTTGCCACTAGATCAATGGGTATCCAAAATGATAATGTTATCCGGCATCACTAAGAGTACAATATTAGGCTCCCGTTTGGTACACATTTTTTCAAAATATATTTTTTCAAAACTCATTTAAAATATATTATTTCCTCAATATCAAATACACAATTAGGTGATACTAAGTGTCATTAAATAAGATGTACAACTAAAATGGCCCAAGAACCTATAGTGAGAATCTGCAAGTAGGATTTTTTTTTTTATTGTTTATCTAAAAAGATTGTATGATTAAAAATGAGAGTGAGAGAAAAATAATTTTCAAATAATCAATTTCAAACAAGGCTTAAGTTACCGTCTCCCCTAGCCATATAAACTTTAGGAGTAATGATATCAACGACTACGAGTAATTAACAACCATTTATGTATTAATGAAATTGCTATTACATTGTCTAATGAAATAAAAACATACATCTTTCTTAATAAACAACGTGATAATGACCCACCACCTAAATTAAATTAGTGCTAATCAGCCCGCAATAATAAATTGCATTATTCAAACTTTAACTTTAGTTACTATCACTTTCACGTCCTCATAATTGCGTACTCCATGCCTAAGTGGGTTTCTCTTTGGACGTGATCAATTATTGTATATTCTTATGAATTGTTGTAATTTTTCTACTATGTATGCATTCTCCAAATGAACTAGCGATCGTTTAAAATTATTTTTAAACTGTAAAATCGCTGCTTCTTGAACCATAAGTTGTAATTAAGGTAGAGCAGTGTAATTGCTCACTATTTCCATCGTTAATCAAGTGGTGAAACAAGGTCAACAACTAAGTAACAAATGCTCGTACACCTATGGTAGACGTGATCCACCCAAGGAGCAAAGTGTAGCATGCATGCTTGGGCGGGCTGAGCATGACATCCGAAGGAAAGATAGATTTGTAAAGATTATCGACTTTACTTATAATCATCATAAATTTTGACGCGTGATAGTTAAATTACTCAATGTGACATGTTCCGTTAAATCACTTTGTCGTTAATTTTTTTATTGTATCAACACTCAAGTTAGCACACAACTGTCTGGATGGAGACTCGAGCAATATCGAATCAATTATTTAAAAGTCATCAATGAACACCAAAACATTAAATAATACTTTTACTGCTGCTGCTGCTTTAATCTTTTCCCTTCCTAGAAATAAGCTGAATTGGATGTTATTACAATGATAAATATATATAAATATTATCCTATTCTTGAGTGTACCATGTGCCAACTTTTTATTCCCAAATAGATAAACCCTAATTTCAAAAAAAGTGATAAAGTGGCTAAAGCTAACCCTGTCTCTATCGCAATGTTCTTTGCTTTGCCTCTGCTCATTCACCAAAACTATGACCACCCAACTTTAGTTCCCACCCAAATCTTCAAAATCTAATATGTGGGACACACGTGGCTCGCTTGTTGCATTGACTGTACAATAATTGAAGAAGATTTTTTATACTGTCCCGTCCCTTCGAGTCTGATTCAATACCATGGAATATTTACAAAAAAGGAGGCTGGATAATGGATATTCATTCCATGCACAATCACCATCTAGTCATCAACTGAAACATTCTTTGGTGGGCTGGTCAGTGTGCAGGGAAAAAAAGTGGCGAAGAATCTCTTTGTAGTTTCCCATCATAGACTTTCACTTTGCTCATCTTGTTTTCACACCAATGCAACTGTTCATCATTCAAATCTTTCATTCTCAAAACCCTAGACACCACTTTCAGGTCTATTAAAGCCATTAAAATCTCCATTTCCTCCTCCGCTCTTAATCTTCTCTTTCTCAAACATGTCCTCGACCGGCGCAGCTCGTTGAGCTTCGCCTTTTTCTGCATAAAGTTCGAGCACCAATAAATATAGGCAAATACATATAAATGTATGGTACTTTAATGTAATAAGCAATACAAGCACTACGTGTCCAACCACTAACTTTTTCGAAATAATAAAGTGTCACACGGTACATTACAAATGACATCACATTTGAAATAATGTATTGCTATTTACTAACAAGAGCTGATTTATCGATATATCAAAATTTTAGTGTGGGGACAACAAATTTCAACTCGTCTAATATTGTCCAATTCAATCTACTAGACGTGCCAATATCATATAAAAAAGAAGGGGTGGGGGTAAGATTTATATTTAATTAATTACCTTTTTGTTTACTTTCTTTTGTAGGAGAAGAAGAGTTGCATCCACTAAACCACTTGAATTTCTTTTGAACAAAGCTGCAAATATTTGGCAATGACTTTCCCTATCTGCTTTGAGGAAATTCATAAATGTCCTAATTGATTCTTCCATGATATCAAGAAATGAATTTGAGGAAATTCTTGAGGAAAAACCTTCTTCTCTTTTCTCCTCCAAGTAATCTACAATGAAATGAACATAATAATTATAACTTAATTAATTCATATATTGTTAATTCATGTTTAGGACTAGTCATATTAGCCCCACAATTGTTTACTTTTCTAGCCATTGACATGACATGAGATTCTAAATAATTATCAAATAATACTACAACTAATTATTTGTCAAAATTCCCAATTCCCAATTCAAGTCAGTTACTTTAACTTTATTTTATTACAATTAAGTAATTGAATTTATAACTTTGTTTCAATCAAATCATTCCGTCTACATTTGTTGATAAACATAATCACTTACTTGGAACTTGACTATCTGTGTCCGGACCATATTTAGCCCAGGTTAGAATTCAGCTAAAAATTCTAGTTAAAATATAAGTCAAAGTCAACAATTAATTATAATTACATATTTTATGAGACCCACAACTTTTTCAAGCACAAATTGTATCTACTTTATTCAAATCTACTAAAATTCTAATTTTTATCTAAAGCAAACAAGAGCTTTATTATATCATGTCTACATTGATATTATTCTTACATTCAGAAAGCTAGTCAAATTAGATGTAGTAAAATCGAGTCTGAGTTACCAAAAATTTGATATAGATTTAGTGACTCTAGAATTCGATCATTACCTCGATATTCTGGGACTTGAAGCAACTTGGGTGCGAACTTCCTCATCCGAGCATAAATTTCGGACCTCCTTCCATTTTCATAAGGCTCATTCTCAATGTACCTTTGCAGAAGAACTTGAAACTGCTGAAACTGTTGCGCAATCAATGCAGGACATCCAGGGTCGGGATCTCGACGGGAAGCTCTCAGGCGTTGGAAGTACTTGTAGTTCCAATTGAGTGCTTCCCATGTCAAGCAAATTTGCGCAACATAAGCAACCTCAAGTTCATGATAAGGGTTGTGATCAAATTCTGATAAATATTTGTTCTTTGTTGACAGCTTATGAACAATTCTGTCTGATATGGATCTTGGACATGCCTGTATTGATCTAAGTGATTCTGAAAATGGATTATTTTCATAAATTATTTAACATTACTCTCTGTATATTGTTCGAACATATTGAAAAAAAAGTGTATAGTATGAGATAGTATACATGAAAATATTATTAAAAGATATGAATTGTACAATACTAGTGACCATTGGTGATCTCCTTGTAAGTCACCAAACTTATAGTATTGTTTCACTTTCGACATACCTTAATTATTCCAAGTAAACTATCCGACTTTCATTTCAAATTCAATTTAGGCACTCGATATGTTGAACTATTGCAAATGTAGACATGACATAAAAATTTGTTACCACATTGATTTTAGTGTCCAGGTTGTAAAAGGGTATGATGTTGGAGAAGTTTTCCTTTCAAAATTCACTTTTTTAAAGAAAAAAAAAAGTCTTAACAAATAAAGCCCTTCTTTGAGCCCATTTTTTGGACCAAATTTTTTTTTTTTTGAATAGTATTTTGTTGGAGATTGTGTGATTAAAAAGTAAGGAAATCTTTTCGATTTACGTGTAATATTTTTATAGGAGAATGTGTGATCGAAAATAAGTTATAAAAAAATGAATTTTTGAAAAAATGGGAGCCAAACATGGTGAAAACATTGCACGAACCGGATTTGATCTTCCGTCCACAATGGATATGAGTTAGAATGCCCATCGTAGGTATTATAACTCCTGATACCATGTGGCAAGTCCACAGTTGACATTATAATTTATGTTCATTGTGGGCTGGAGATTTGTACTTTTATTATCGACATCAACATTTTTGTTAATTCTAGACGAACTGCCTAAACCAAAACAAAATAAAATTTTGGCGACAAACCATGTTTTTAACCCGACAAAATGTTAGATCAAGAAGAGTATAGTACCTGTTTCATGGAGCTTCTGGGCACTAATTCTGTCCAAAAATAGCATTTCTTCATCATATTTTTGGAAAACAGTGTAAGACTCCCATTTAGGGCAACTTCTTCTTGATGAAGATGAAAATGGATCATCAGTGCCTGATTGATCCCTATAATTAATTGAACTTCTCCATTCTGATGAATCTTTAGATGTTGATCCAATGGTCAAAGTGTCCCCAAAAATATCTTCTTCTTCTTTTTCTTGTATTAATTTCTTGCTCATTGATTTGGGTGGTTGAAAAACCAAGAAATCTTCTTCTTGCTTGAAATTAATCTCAGTTTTCTGCTCATCTTCAACAATTTCCCTGCCATACTTTTCTGGGACACAAAATGGGTCTGCACGGATTCGAAAAAGGTAAGTGATCAATGATGAGACTAGGGTAGAACTAGTGGCTATTTAGGTTGGTTGATGTTTTAACAAAATGTATATATTTTATTTTCTTATATATAAATCGGAACGGATCTCGAGTAGTTCCTATTTTTCTAGTCGAATCAGCTTGTCCGATTCTGCATCTTATGAGATTGCTTATGAGATAGACATAAATTTTAGAACTCGAAGTTTGCATTCGCGCATATTCTCGGTACACTGTACAAGACAATGAATAAAATCTTTTCCTTCTTTAATTATTTTCGGCATGTCTTCATGTTTTGATATTGCTCGATAATATTAAGAAGGAAAAAGAAGGAAAGATCTTGTCTTTTTAGTCCTGTCTAGTACCAAATGTCGAACATAGACGAATCCGTATCGTCCAATCCAACGTAAGTGAGAAATAAATTTGAATTTACATACCTTGATGGTTCTCACTATTTGCCACTAAGTTGATGCCAAATTCTGATGTGGGGTTGTTGTCATCATTGGCTTCAGAAGAAGTATCTGTATCTTCTACAAGAACCTCTTCCTTAAATACTTCTTCATGTTCATCAATACTCTCAAAACTTTCTTCTGAGTCCAAGTTCTTCCCTTCAGAGATTTGATCCTCTTCAGCCACAAACCTCAGTGTTTCACTTATATTTGCCATCAAATTATCCTTAATTTCATAGGGCTGATCAGTACCATAATATTCATTTTCTTCTTCCATTTCCATTTCCATTTCCATTTCCTCATCAGAAGAAACAAAGAATTCATATCCATATACCTGATTCCTGCAAGAAAAACAAGCACAATATTATATACACAGAACCAATCGATTCTAGTCCAGTTCGGTCCATCACACGTGCAGACTTCTGGCCAGTATAAGGTCAGAATTTGACCGAACCGTACCATGTTCAACTATTTACAGAATTTTTACTAACGGCTGGTGGAAGAGGAAATTAGAGGGATGTCGGAACTTAATTTTACCTTCGCGAAAATGGATTTCCTCCGAGGAAGATGAAAAGCTTGGCAAGGAAAATGGAAGTAAAATAGAAGAAAAAGGATAAAAGAAGAAAAGAACTTGAGACATTGTAGAATAGCCTGGCTATTGTTTCTTTGGGACATTGCATTTTCTTAATTCCTTTCAAGGAGATGAAATCTCCAATTATCGATTCCTCAAAACACAAAGCAATGCTAAGTGGAGTCTAGAAAAGTGTGCTTTAATTGCTTTTGTAATTTTCTTTGTTTACCAAGATTTGCTTTTTTCCTTTGTCCAAAATTACTGTTTTGACCTATAATTTGCTTATATAGATATACATACACATACACATACATGTATGTAAACGTTTATATTGTATATGTATGCTTCTATATGTGGGGAAATGGCACAATGATGATTGGGCTTGATCTTGATCCTGATTAAATGGGCTGGAGTAATGCTGGTGGGCTGGATTGGTTCTTTGGATAACTTGCTGGCCCTGTTCTGTTTGGTAAAAACGTGTTTGCTCCTATACCTTTTAACTGAAGCGTGTTTTGATTAAAAGATTGGACGGTTGAGATGTTACCAAGTGTTGCCCCAGATTGCCGTTGGATGGTGACGCTTCTGGAGACTTCTCTATGACTAGGGTTTGAGATCTTTTGGTCGATTCATTCTCTTATTCAATTCAGTCTCTTGGTCTCTCTCTGCTCTCTGTTCACGCCATTCTTCCTTTGCACTAAAACTGATTCTCGTGTAAATCGATTGTAGTTTAGCTTGTATACATCTCTTGAGTGACTTGTAGCAAGGCTGATTTGTATCCTTGTGTGGATTCAGTGTCGATTTGTGAGGGATTCTTTACTTTGAGGAAATCTTGAGTGATTTTGTCTGAGTGCCTTTGTGTAACGATGAACTGGCTTTGATCCTTGGTTTTATATAGTGATTTCTTCCGATTGGCGAAAGCTCAAAAGGGGAGTAGGATTTATTCCGAACCTCTTGCCTAAGGGCGAAAAATCTTGTGTTCTTTTACTGTTTCTTATTTTTCTTGTGCATTACTTTTGTTGTTCTTGAGTTTATACAACTGATTAGTGGTTTTTAATCTCTACACTATATATGATCATCACCATTTAAATGAGCGGATGATCCAAGTTTTTATTCCCTTGTGTGCTCACACTTAAATTGATTTCATATAAAAAAAATCCCGAAAAAAGAACTTTCAATTTCTCAAACAAGCATGATCTCGACTATAGATATAATTATTTTTATCTTCTTTCGATAACTACAAACTGAAAAGATGAAATGATTTTTCGCTATCTCAATTGGGAGGCTCGCTACTTCAAAAATATTTTCTTGCCCCCAAAGAAAGTTTTCCAGCGACCTTAACAACACCATTTGCCAACATTTTTCTTTTTTTGATACATTTACCCTATCTGACTTGGAGTTTTTGATATATACGCGTAACTAATTGGTATGATAGTTGATATTTTGGTGGGATTAACCCAGATAATTTCAATGAAAAATACATGTCCGTTTTTCCATTGGTTTTTTTCTCGATTTTTCTTGAAACTGCAACTATTTACGGGAACCTTACAAAGTAGATTGGCTTCAAAAAGATCCATGAATTATGCTAAACTGGAGTAGGAGAATCTTCTAGGTATCAAAAATACAAAAAATTGTATTATAGTTAAATTTAATTGCTATAAAGATGAAATTTCTAGATGATGAGAAAAGCAACATAGTACAAACAAAAATTAAAAGAAGAGACCAAAACCTAGACACACACACACACATCTATGTATATGCCTTGCTCTTTACAAAAGAATTATTAAAATAATATAATAAATCATTCTTTGCATATTAAAGGAAGAAAGGGCTTCCATGGGCACTATTGTCTTTTCACTTTTTATATCTATCTTTCTTGACTGTTGATTGCACTGCCTTTAGTTTTTGTCACTTTAGCTTGGCCATTAAGGTTTTCCCATATATAGACGCATGCTTTTGTATTGCTTTATACCAATTTATTTTTTGCATTAAAGAATTGATGATTTTATTTATTTATTTATTTATGATATAGAAAACATCATCAACTTTGTTGAGGTCAAAAAATCAACTTCTACCCAAATGTTGGCTGAACATGATCCTCATTCCTCAAATGTAACTTTTAAAAGAATGTTTTTTATAATATGTTGAATCAACTCGTCTAAGATTTTCAACTCTTGAAACTTTAATTATCGAATGTTTAACACGTCTTTTTGTATTCGTTTGCTTGCTGAACTTTTGTGGTTAAAATCTTAAAGACACGACACATAATTTTTAGAGAAACTTGATTGCACCATTATTTTCCAAGTTAGGTGTTTGGTAACAACTTGATCTCCATCTTATGTTTCTTTCATCGTTGTCAACAACGATTCAATTTTGTCGTACTGATTGTTGCTTGTGAATGGAAATTGTACACTACATTGTTAACGAAGCACGTTCAATGCATGAAGAGTATTGGTTTAGAGGTAACATGATCAAATGCCAATAATTTTGATTAAAAAAAAAGGGAAATCCTCATGACCTTGTCGTAACAACCCTCCACCCGGAGAATATGTTTTAGTCCGTGGAGGGTATATGAAGAGAGTAAAGATCTCGTCTCTACTTTAATATCTTATTTGTTTGTTTCATCGATAAATTTTTAACATCCTGGCACATCAGTTTTTGGTAATAAAAAAGACTTGAATAGCTAAATGGGTTAGTAGATCTCGATAAAGAAGAAAAAATTGAACTGTTGGGCCTTGAAGTTTGGGTTAGATTTGTTTCTGGGCCGCTTGGACTGGCAACAGATACTCTCAGCCTACTGGTGGTCCATTGGGCTGCCATATTCTTTTTGAGGAAATTACACCTAGAAAGGTTTTCAGATTTCCATTTTCATGAATAAGGAATCAAGTTTAATTATACAGAAATCAGGTTTTAATTTATAATTAATATAAATTAATATTTAATAATAATAATATACATCAACCTATACGTACACCCCCCTCCAGGCTCCAAACCCTAAATTCCTTCCACCACTTCCCATTCTCTCCCCTCTATCCATTCTCTCTCCCCCCGTCCCTGTGCTCAGAAAACCGTCCTTGGTCCTTCCACTCGCCGGCGAATAAGGTATCTTGCCTACTCACGACCGTCGATGTTCTCTTTCACTCTCATCTCCGTTACTGTCGATCTACTCAAAAGCCACTGCAGCCGCAACGACCTCCGACCATTTTCTACCTTCTCTCACCGTCTGTCCATCGCGCCTCCACCCATCGTCGCCTCCATTCTTCTCTCGCTCGATCTCTCCCTCTCTCTCTATCTCGTCTTTCGAGGCGGTGTTGGTATAGAGGAGGCATATGTTCCGACTGCCTGTGATGGATCGAAGTTGGTAACAAGTGGTGGAGGGGTGTTTTGTGCATGCAGATCCCTTTTTTGCGTGCAGATCTTTTTTTTTTTGCTTGCAGTGTTTGTACGTGCCGAACGCGATGGGTCGTAATTTTCGTGGTGATTTTGGGTCGCGATTTAGGTGGTGGCAGATGTGGTGGCTGCGTACGATCAACTGCGATGTGGTGGTGGCTGTGGCGGTAGTAGGTGTGTGCGATCTGTTGAGATTTGGTGGTGGCGGTGGCTGTGGGTGCGGTTTGCTGCATTTTGGTGGGCGGCGGTACTTGGTGCTGGCAGCGGTGGTTGTGGTCATTTTCATTGGGTGGTGGTGGTGGTTGTTGAGGGATGGTGTTGGTGGTGGCGGCGGCGGCGGTGGTTGCTGAGGTGTTGGTGGTGGCAGCAGCGGTGGTTTATGTGATGATGGTGGTGTGTTTCTATGGTGTTGGCCGTGGAGACGACAGTGGTGTTGTGTTGTGTTGGTGGTGGTCACAGATGATTTGTTGATTGTAACCAATAAATTGGTTGGTGTGTGACCAACAAAGAATAAATTGTGATCAATAAATACTGTGTGACCTACAAATTTATTAATTTGTGACCAATAAAAGTAATTTGTGACCTATAACTTGATATTTTGTGACAATAAAATAAGTTTTGTGACTTATAAATTTTGTGATTTGTGACCGATGAACAATTTGTGACTTAAATTTTTAATTTGTGACCGACGAACGAACGGTGACTTATAAAATTTTTGAATCACGACCTTAAAATTTTTGTTTGTGACCAAATTGAATAGATTTGTGACCTTTATATATTTATCAATAAAACATATACTTAATTAATTAATTCACAATTAAATTTTAATGAAAACATGATTTTTGAAATTTAAAACTTCTAACCTTAAATTTGAAATAGTGATACTTAAAAACCTGATTTATGTATTGTTCCC